CCCCAAAACCCCAAAACCCCAAAACCCCAGCAAGTAAAATTTGAACATAGTAAAGCAGTGAGTTAAAGCATTTAAATTTTATTAAAAATGAAATTATCAGTGCTTTATAATCCAGGTCTTTCTTTATCTATAAATCACTAGTTAAGAGAAAGCTCAACTTTTTCAAATACTAAATAATCGTTAAATCCATAATATACTTTAGTAATTTTTATATCCTGTCAAGCTAATGTCTTTTTCCAAAGTGAAAAAAGTAATCATCAAAAATATCTGTATTAAAAACATTTTATAAACTAATAATCCAGAAAAATCGCAGCATGTTTCAGAAGTTTTAAGACCTAGAAAATCATAATTTCATATATTCTAATTGACTGCTATAAATAGCATTTCATCGTTAATTTCATAATCAATTAATCTCTTAAAGATATCGATCTATCCACTTTACTTTTCTATTAATGATGTAATATTCTTAGGATATACTTGTAAACACTCTTGAAAATATTTTTAGTCGTTAAACCATATTTTAGCAGGTGAGGCTTCATCATTATCGACTATCTAATACAGTCCCCATACATAGAGTTCATTATTCAAAGTTATTAAAGAGCCTGTGTAATCAGAAGCTTTTATTTTTTTGGCTCTCTAATTAATCAAGAATGGAGAATTTTAAAGGCAATAAGGAACTTTTTAGTTATCTAGTTTACCATTTCCTATTTGACCTTCGAATCCACAGCCAAATGTGAAGACTAAACCTTCTACAGTTAAAACCATAGAAGATTCTCTGAATGCTGCAATGTCAGATAAATGAAGCATTTTGAAGAATAACGGGAATTGGGGCAAATAAAATGTTTAGTTAGTGGTCTCAGTTCCTAGTTAACCAAACTCTCCACTTCCTTGAGATATTAATTTACCTTCAAATGAAAGCATCAGAGTATGATGAGAACCGCATGATATCTTTTGAATTCGAGTTCTTTTAAGGTATTTGTTTATGCTGAGCTCATATCCTAATGCATGAGAATTGTTTTGGCTGTTAGGATACAGAAATTTAACCTAATAATCAGAGTTAAGGCCTACTACAAATTCAACATTTGTATCCATCTAAATAAATCCATGATTGAGTAGCTGGATGTGAGGAACTCTAATAAGTTTCTTTTCAGTGTAAAAATATCTGTAGAGCCATCCATATTTGTCAGTGAAATTGAAATAATTATCCATTTAATTAGCAAACACATCGCATTTATGATTTAGACAAGGTTCGAATAACGATACCTGGTAATCTAATTATCCTCATAGCTTTTTCGACTTTAAAATGGTGTAAATTTTATTTGAGGATGTCAGAATGAACAATCTTTTATCTTTGATTTGCATCTTTATTACCCCTTATTCAAAGATTTATTAATCTACTCTAACTTTATGACCTTTTAAAATAAGAACGAAATTCCCTTTTGATGCCTTTACTTATTCCTTCTTTTAAATAATTAATTCCTGAGCAATTTATTTATTCAAATTTGTTTTTTATCTTTCAAATATAATTTTTTCTAGGTAGTCATCTTTTAACTATTGATCGTTTTTTATGACACCAATTTATGACATAATTTGCAAAGATCTGTGCCTATTATGATGAAAATTGTATATAACGTTTTTATAGTCTTAATTACTTTCCCCAAGAAAATTAAGAATTTCAGGTGACACTTTTTTCTGGCTCAGTTAGATTGAATTTTAAAGATCATCAATTCTAAGTCCTAATTATTAATCTTCTCTTTTTCTGAATGAGAGTTAAGGAGTCTGCTCCTCAGAACAATCAATGTATGGAGATTCAGCTATTAATTTTGGAGATTAATTTTAGAGAGTAATTTGAATACTTCATCTCTTTTAGTGCTAACTCTTAGACTATTTTTAAGTTTGATTAATGCTTTTGACACTCATTGAATTTATATGCTACACACTTTTATTATCTTAGTTCAAATCTTAATTTTGAAATTCTAATTCTAAAAGCGATCTTAAAAACTGACTGTCGATCATTTTCTCAGGCATTTTCAAGCACTAGTTAAGTGCTTTGACAATCATTTGATTTCTTTAGTTCATTTTTAGATTTCTCTGAATAAGGTCAGAGAGATATATGACTTAGTCCTTCGCAAATCTATAATTTTCATCAAATAGCAGATCAATTATTTCCTCTAATTCACCATTTTTAACTATGCTTATAATTTTCTTTTCAATTTAATATTTGAGTGTCATTTAATCATTTGAATTTATTATTATCTGCTTGCTTTGAATGCTTTATACTTGCGGTGGGTTGTTTATTGATTATTTCTATTTGTTTGAGGCACTTTTTATATTTTAAATGTTAATTCTTTAGTGAGATTTAGATCTTTTAAACATATGAAATCCATTATTTTGTTAGAGCCGCATATCTTTATGGTTTGTGAAAGGTATCTCGCTTCCATAGATCCTTTGATCAATACTTTATCTGAGACTTTTGATCTTTAACTTGAAAACTTGTTATTTTCCAGTCAGATTTTAGATATATATAGATTCAGAGTCATTAGAAAAGCTTTTTTAACTTAATTGACTGTGCATTGAATTATTATTTATAAAATTATTTTTTTATTTAATTTTAAAAAAATTTAGCAATTATCTAGCTAAGGGGTTTTGGGGTTTTGGGGTTTTGGGG